TAGGTAGCCAGGTGCAGTATTTGATATATGAGGATCTCATCGGCTGTATAGAAATGAACAGACTCCTAGTATTTACAAGCTTTTAACACACGGTCTTGGATTTTAATCCTTTTATCATTTTCGTTACTGTTCGGTACGGACGTTCGAGTGCTCTCTCGTCACGATTTAGTCATGAATTCCAAACGTACTCTATGTGCGATCGAAGGTAGCTGATAACAAACGAGGAATGGGTTTTTCAAACCCTTGTACCGCATCGTCAATCTATCGTTTTTGCCTTCGTTTCTTCAACCCCAGTCTCCTCAAATACGTGCTGGTAACCTGGATCATCCCCCTGGTTGTCGATGCCTCATTCGATCGAGCAACTTTGTAACACGTTCTGTGCAGATTCGTTTGGTCTCAGCCATCCTCTTGGAACCTTTAGATACGAATTGGTTATCCGTGCTACGAACCTGCACTTGGCGCTGTCAGCTCCGTTCGAACGCCGCACTCAACCCCGGTGTGGATACTGGTAGCCATACCGGTCAGACCGCAATCCTTGCAGTCACACCAGCTGCATATCTCCAATCTCGATCGTGGCCAACCGAGCTATCATATTCTGGAAAATCCATGTATTCAAGTGTGCTTCAACCATTGGATAACAACCCGACCACATTTGTTGTGGTGTGGAATTTCGATGCGTTTGTGTAAGTCCACTCTCACGGTTTTCACTTTGTCGCGTTCAATCTCTTTTTCCCAATCTCTGTTTTATATACTTATTAATTGGCTTATCAGATTAATCGTATAGTTCATATACAGCCCCGGGTCATATAAGTTTATCTGTCAAGTTAAGTCGTCTGTTGTAGGATTGGTTCCCATGGTTCTTATCCTGCTAACTTCTACTTGGAATCAGTCCTGTAAATGGGTTGGTTTATTTAATCATTTATTGTTTGGTCTGCGATTCATCACGCAGAACAAGTTGGCATTATTCATGCTTGTCAGGTCACTGATATTCTCCTCGTTTGGATTTCACTATAAATTGTCTACTCGTATATGGTGCCCTGTTGTCTACTGTAAATTTGTGGAAAAAAGAGGAATGGTATTTGTATATCGATCCAAGCATCGCACTCAAGGAGGGATAGTATGAACAAGCGTATAGAACTAGAACTCTTTTATTACTATCTGATGAAAAACTGGCAACCCAAGACTGCCCCCGTTAGAACCAGTTAGAACCAGTTTAGAACCGGTTCAAACCGGTTTGCCGCTGGTCCAAGAAAGCCAGTCACCATGGCGACGAAGCAGCCAATCAATTTGAGGGACGCCAACAGCTAATAAAACCCGTCCAACAGAACTATATAAGCCCGGTCACACAGGACTGGTGCGTTCCTGAAGTTGCATTGTTGATTTTACCTAACCTGACTACGAAACGTCTGCGAACAACACTTCTAACTTGGAGAACACACCAACACTAACATCCGAACCCGTGCTCTAATCATTCCACATCTTATCCAGTTTTATTTGGTTCTGTTTAGCTTTTGGTTCCGTCTCTATTAGGTTTGTTCCTCTAATTTTCTATTGAATTCCTTTCTTTCTTCACAGATCGGGGAGTTTTCCATGATAGCACGAAAGTAAGGTTCACGCGCTGCAGGTTTTCCCATCATCACGGCATAGAGAATGTGAGATGAGACATTCAGACAGCTCCGAGATATTCACGCAACTATCTCTCAGCTCGTGGCTTACAACTGTAGCCATCGACGCTCGCTCGTGGATCACTGGTTTACAACCTACAATATTCATTCCAAAACGGATTTACTCGAGTTTAACGTTGTGTAATGAAAACATTTCCAGGCTCACGCCGCTGTTCTTCGTCTGCACGTCGATTCTTCGAGCATGGTAGTAGTTTACCAAAGGAGGGAAACAGAATCTCACTTAAACTCTATTCAGTATGGAATCATGACTGCTCCCGGTGTTGGTCTCCTTCGACTGCTGTGCTCATGTGAACGACACTCATGCCTGCACTATCAACCGAGTACTTTGATACAATAAACTGTGGTTTTACACAATCAATTCAAGTCAAGTCAGTGAATGGCTTTATACACCTCGAGAGGTGGATATTCAGCAACCACATAACCACAGTGTCAATAAAAAATGAAAAAAAAACAATATAATACAGCAATTAAAGGACGTGAAAAAGGACAGCAACATCAGAAACCAATGGCATACCCGGGTGTTTATGACTGAATTAGTTTGGCGTTTCCTGCTACTAGTTTATGGTTTGTTAGAAATCTGGCGAGTTACGGGACAACAGACCGCCTGTAAGCACCAATGTGTGCCTTTATAAGTTTATGAGTGGAACGGGTGGATGAGTGAGAAAGGCACTGACTAAGGGCGGAATCAAAAGGATGAGAAATATCAGGTAAAATCTTGTTGGAGAATGTTTTACAGGACTTGAGTTGGTGTGTCACCACATACTGTACCAGATGTTCCCGTGGTATGAGTCTTCAAACTGACAGAAATTTGAGAAATCGGGAAATGAGTTTGACGTCCTTGTTAAAAGGATCAGGGAAGATAACAGGGGACCCATAAAGCCAGTGAAGCAAAACGCACGCAAAAACAAACGCTTTATGAGAAGGTTTGGAATAAAAAGTGATTTAAGACGTAAAACATAAAACGTGAGCCTCCTGACCTTTCAGAAAAACGTCATTAACGTGGTCAGACCAGGTGAGGTTAGGGTTGAAAATAACGCCAAGGTATTTGACAAACGGTTGTCGTTCCATCTGGTCACGGAGGGTAGATGAAGGCGAGCTGGCATTAGGTAATTCATCATACTTTTACCCTTTCAAAAAGGAAAAATTACGTCATTACATTTCCGGGGGTTCGTGCGGAGGTTCCTTTGTTGAGACCACGCAACTATTTCAGACACGTTTTCTTGTAGAGTGGTTTGAAGTGATGAATTGGGTCAGGACAGTCCCAATATTATATCGTCTACATACTTAACGAGAAAAGAAGAATTGCTCACAGGCATAGAGGAAATGTAAGCAGAAAATAGAAAAGGGGATAAAATGGCGCCTTGCAGTACGCCTTTTGAGGAGGGCAGCTGGTATCGGTGACCATATTTAGCGTCGTTTCCGAAACCTCGGTGCGCGTCAGGTAACACCCAGTTAGATTATTTGTAGACATTCGCGACTCGGAAGTGTGAAACTTCTCAGTCGTTATTTGTGAATTTCACTAAAGATTTATCCGACAAGTTCTGGGATCCTCCCATCTTGTTGATTTTAATGACTGAAATCCCTAAATATGTAGCATATCGTGTAAAGTCTCTCTCCGTCCATTGTTCTTTACAGGCCTACCAGAAAATTAAATTCCGATCTTTTGGATGTGGTTCTCTATACGGATCCAGAATTAGGAAATGGTACGTTCACGCTGTTGTTAGAATGTTGCTCCGTTATGTATCGTAGGAAACAACGTTTAACATTTTTTTCTTTGTTGTATGCCGGTTGCCAAAATTTTTGGTCCTCGTTCTTGTACTACCTTTTGGGGTCGTGACGTGCAGTGCAGTCACCGCCGTCTGTCAATTCCGACGTCACTTTTAGGGATAAACAATAAGAAGAATGAACGTCATAGTCCTTATGACCTATTACACCATCAGGAGAACTGGTGTACCAAGTCCTTTGACCTCGAATTGAGCACTGCATAAAGCTACACGCGGATAATTGTGGTGTCATAGCTCGCCGACAGTAAAATTGTCCAACATCAAATTTCAATGGCATTGGCAAGGTTTCAACCTCGTACCTTGGAGCACTGAAAGCGCTGGTGACAGCCGCTAAACCGCTTGATCACCACCACCACCACAGCACAATTTCAAAACTGAGTCGTTACTTCAGATTATCCCGTTGCAATCCGGTCAGCTCGTTCAGATTCATTGTGAAGTATGCCAATTTTACTTTCATGCTATACGCCCCAGTTATCGTATATGTACCTGTTTATCCACTCTGTTCTCTCGCCGATGTGAATATGATTGCAGATAATTCACCGAGAATAAGCGGACATGCGGTGCTTCCTCTAGCTCCGACCAGCGAATGTTGTGCGCAAAGTCAGCATGTGGTCCTGGTCGATTGTCACTTTGGATTGTCTAATTCCTCGATCAGCATGGCGGACGGGGTACGCTCTCGACTGTCTCCCGGAAAGTCCGGTCAAACCAATGTGAAATTCATGCTCACATTGAAAGTGAGTCCATTCGGTGTCAGTTTTCCTCGTAAACCTTACTGACTCGGTGACCATTAGGTAAACCATCCATCCTTTTCGTGCCGTTTTACCTCATCACATATGTATGGACTCACCGATGAATCTGATGTATAATTATTCTGTCAACACGGTCATCTGAAGTCAATCTTCGTTGGATACCGCATCGTCTAATCGCTGTTAAATTTGCGTTGGATCACTACCTTTCACGGAAAAATCTAAAGACAGTTTAGTTGGGTCCGTTGGAGCTCACTGGTCTTCAGAAAAATGTTAGTTACAGATAAAGAAAATAATCCAGATTTTCAAAGTATCATAGAAGGCATTCGTTGTGTATAGAACGAATGAAGCGTGAACTGAAAAGCTAGGGAGCACTGGACAGCTGTTTCGACCTGGTTGGGCCTCATCAGCAGGGCGAATCCATCAACCCAACTGGGTGTCAAACACGGGCCCTCACGTGCAGCACGCCAGCATGTTACCCACTCGGCCACCGGGAAGCTGATCAGATCGTTTTTAATTTTCCATTTACACGATATAGCACAACTCATCCTTGCGAGCTTGTTGCGCGCCTCGCGCCTCACTCATATCAGCGCTAGTTTCCGGGCTTATGACTTAGTCGGAAACTTTCAAAACCTGACTACTTTCAGAGTCCTCACAGCAGCAATAAAAGCGAATGGTTTATGAGGTAACCCTCCTACAAGCCGCTTCCAAGTTAGTGGATGCTATACTAGCATTTTCCTATCCGGGTACCTCAGTAAGTGGAGACCTCTTTCCCCGTCAGAGCGTCACCTTGTCCGACTTCTTTTGTGATGGATCATATCAAAAAGACTTCGACAGACACAATCAATAGTGCATTTCATATTTTACGGAATATTTTTGTACAGGATGGCTACTCAGAGCAATTTATTGATAAGGTAATGCTAGCCCAACGGAAATAGTAGCAGTTTTGAAGTTTGTATATGGGCATCTTTCGTATAAAGGAAATACGGAGGCAGAAATTATTCGAAGATAGCTCTCTGGTACAGTAAGTAGAACAAGTGAAAGCTGTATTCACATCTAAATGGATTGTTTCTGACTGCAGCCTCATTTTATGTGTACTCATTCATTTATTCTTGTGGAACTCTACAATGATCAGCCGCTTATCCGATTCTGTTCGTGAACACACTTGGTTGTGGACACGAATAATGAAGACAATTACGAGCACTTTGTTCAATCAAATCACTTATTAGATGCGGCAAGGGAGTTTCGATCGGTTAGCAAGGTTCGATATAGGAATTCGAGAGCAATAAAGGATCGTATCCTAGCCACAGCGGAAACCCGTAAACATTCGGATTCATAACCTCCCATTTCAACACGCGTGCAACCAATTGGACTTTTAACACTGACCAATTTCACGTGGACACGCTCGCACGTGAGCTTGGATCTAGATCTAAAGAATTAGGACTTAAATTGTTCACTTCCCTTTTGTTCTGCTTGATAATCAGATTGGGTTGGTCCAGCCCCCAAACTCATCCTGACTGGGGAAGTAGTGGATGAAGTAGACACGTTTTTCTATCTGGGTAGCTATATCTCACCCGACGGACGCATCACAGATGAAGTGTTGGCGCGCGTAAAAAAGCTCGGTGGGTATTTGCCAGCTTGAAACATTTTCGGTACCGTTGCGACTTCCGGCTATCCGTGAAGGATCGAGTATATGCTGTAGCAGTTCGTGCAGTTCTCCTTCACGGTATAGAGACTTGACCACTGCGAGAACAGGATAAAAATAAATTGGCAGTGTCCGAACACCGCTGTCTACGTCGCATTGCACGAGTGTAGTGGGGAAACCGGATGAGCAATGCTGAGGCTAAGCGTAGAGTTTTAGGTAATCGCGGTCTTCCACTGGAGGAAGTAGTCGCCCTCCATAGATTACGCTGGTTGGAATATGAGCTGCGCATGTCA